GTTATAGAATATAAGATATCGATATGTATGTTCGTTGTTTATTTCTAGACTGTACATCTATCACTGACCATATTTCAATATCACTCTCATGAAACAATTTCCCCAGCAATAACATCGGTAGCAGGATAGCTAAGTGACTGAGCTGTTAGTTGCCCGTAAAACAGCAATATACAGTCTTAGAAGATGAGTGTTCTGTGTCTCAACTAAATGCGGCTGGTTGTGGACAAATGTTAAGGATCTTTTTGACAATTGGGACTTTTAGTTTATCAGGCACTAACTCTGCTTTTATGTCTTCCTGTTAAGCTAGGCGCAGATGCATGGGAGTACTTAAATGGGAGCAAAATAATAAAATTATTCCGATATGGTACTAAGCCCATGTTAGCTTTGCACAAGTAATAGTGGCTGACCTGATCTAATATTCATGAACTCAAGGTAAATCGCAACTGCATAAATTCTTTGCTAAAAAACATATGATTCGGTTATTTATCTATTCCATATTTCTGACTAAATTCATCACTATTTTTTCATTTAGAATGCAACAGGAGTGAGCCTTCACAGATCCTAAAAACTGTTTTGCCCTTAGAACGATGGCCCTATGGAACAGTTTACGGGAGACCCAACTAACAGCAGATTATAAAAAGGATGATGGACGTCCATTTTAGTCTCACAACCACTTCTAGTACTTTTTAAGTTACTTCTTTTACCCTTTCGTTTGGAAAAAATAGCAAATACTGCAGCTTAACATTACCAATGCAACTTCTAAACAGGAACTTCGTTTAAACCTTTGTTTGATATTCGATTCTTAATGAAAGTTCCTGAATAAATTTTTAAATCCAATGTTACTTTGTTTACCTACTTAATCGTTGCAAGAAACTTGCGATACACGAGCCTCTCAGCACCTAATTCATATGTAGTAAGTTTAAGTGATTTAGTACATATCTTCGTCATTTTCTTGGCAAACCTACAGACTCGAGTCCTCTGATAACTTATTATAACCCCCATGAGTTGTCACGGCAGCTGATGGACACGCGTCGTACATCCTTACCGTAACTGCGTCCAGTCTCAGAGCTTCCTATTCAAATGCCATATGATAAGCAAGCAATGCCCCTACCCGCACTAATGGAACACGAGTAACTCAAAGGCACCCTGTATGGTGCCTTACATTGGTCTACGCACTCGCTTAGCTCTTTTGGTGGGAATATTACTACAGTTCTGCTAAAAATCCCATGAACCCCCCTATGTTCATCAAAACAAATAAGTCTGTATTTGCTGCATATGGCAATTTTATGTTTCTGAAGACATAACAGTTAGTATTAGAGTAAAATGGCAGTATACAGCAGATGCACGTGGTACATGTCTTCATCGATTAACTAAAATAGAGAATACGGATATTAGCTTAACAGGCTTATTTAGAAAGACTAGTGTCTACTTTGAACTTACTGCGTGAGAAAGTTATACTGGAACTACGAATAATGTAGGAATCTAGTCTCTCAGGGCGTACGAAGCACTCAAACTGGAAGACAGTTGTCCAAAAATAATTCGAATATGGAAGTGAGAATTCGCAGTTACTTTTCATTGTGAGGGTGAACATATTAGGTACCGGTTGACATCATATCGTAAAAAACACAAATTTGCGAGTGGTGAAATATGATTTATAAGAAAGTGAGCTTAATAACATTTAATTACCTTTTAACTCCCTGATCATGACCCATCGGCTTTCTTTTACTGCAAAAACAGCAATGATACACTACTCACTGATAGCAGATTTCCGGCTTTTCAATGTTAAGCTTGCCTTAACACACTGTCTGATGAGTACAACCCCTCCATTAGTGCTATATGGCATATTTTTTATAAAAAACCCTCTGCAATAGATTGGTAGCATCTGTGACTTCTATGGTCGTCGGAAGTCTGGGTCCTTCCGAAAACAGTACTGATATCCCCTACTGCTGTGCACTCAGTATTAGTTTGACTCGTTGGTGGGATAGTGTTGTCCATAATACTGAAGAAAATTAAAAACCGGAGATTGTTTTCTTTCATTTTGCCGATAACATCATGAAGGACAGTTAGGAACAAACATGCGGACAGTTAGTCACATGCGACAGCAACAATTATTTTAGTTAAAAAACGAACTTTGGCTTTGGATATCTAGAAAATAAATCAAAACAAAACCGATTGTCATTTTAAATCATAAGATTAGCCAGTTTGGCTGAAGAAATACATTGACTTTAGTAGCAGCAGGAAAAACCCAGAAAAGAAAGCAAAATCAGGAAAGATTTTGCTCAAACATTTAGAGTATTACATTAACTTCTGCATTTTAGCACACTGAAACATTAAATTCTGTAGCTACACAAAACAAATAGCGGAAAGAACACAGAACGAAGCAAGCCGGTCGCCATCGCATACCAAGATGGCGGATATAATAGTTCCCGCTTCATTCTGATTGGTCGCTGAGTAGACTGTCACGTTTACGAAAGTGAGTTGCGTTTAATACTAGCCCCATTGTCTGCTCTACTTCTCGTCCTTTCTTTGTCTTGCACCCTTTTTCAGCCCCCTTGAGGTATTCCACCAATAACAGATATGAAACGGGTGACTTCGTCCTGCACCATCATTGGACCCTCAGATATTAAAGAGGGATATAAGGTTGCAGTCTCTAGAGGCCCCAACTTTACATGGATCTATTCTCGACCATCAGTTGCACGTCGTAACACAACCTTCATAAAGCGCGCGAACTGTGATACTGACAATAGGATTCTTACTAAAACCATGTAAACTTATATCTTATAAAATATAAACCCAGCTGGGTAAGTTAATACAGTAAAAATAGTATCTTTTTTAACAATTTGATCTTGCGTGTAAACTGGCATGCCTCGTGTAACAAACTGTTATTTGAGAATCAACTATTATTATTAATAAAAGGAATTAAAAATAAACATACCAATCTGGTACGATTTGATGGTAGAATAAGATTTTATGTATTAACAATTTAGAGTGATATAATAAAAGTCCTAATTCACTGAGAACAGAAGAATGGGTTTGAGCAAACACACGTTAAGGTTAATCTACTTTTGCTGAATGTTCGGACTGAACTTCTGTTTACTGCTTTAGATTGAAAACGCATAGTTTGTGCATCGTCACTTAAATTCGTGAAAAGGATACTAACTTCTGCCCCTGTGTCAACGAGAACGAGTGCCTTGGTTGTCACACCAGTGATGTGTAGCGGTAAATTAAACCCAAGAATCAATAACTGTGTAAGTCTTTGACATTTGGTGATGACCGGATTAGTTTGACTGGACTCACCTATATGAAGGTGCTGGGTCATACATCCGCACCAGATCACGAGTGGGTACGCCGTGCTTTACATCTCCTATAACATCTACTCACCCCTGATTATTCAGTTCCTGAATATATCAGTATTCTATCAAATATCTTCGAACCTCTTCGCTTCTGACTTCTGAGTCAACTGAGTTGGAATACTTTGATTATAAAGGTGTTACTGATCAAGGCGTTGTCCCACTCCGAATAACTGTGGCATCTTTAAATGTATAACAGACGGGAATGATTAACATGTCTATTAGTTGTCCATGTGTATGGATAAAGATGTTAATAGGGAGTTTGGTCGTATCGGCAATTGATCTAGGTTTAGGAAAACTTGAGGGTGTTGCTTTGGTTGAGGGAATAATTATTGTCGGTGTTGTGACAACGACAGGATTTGGAATATCTGTTTTTTTTTAAAACAGAACCTTAACACGATGGACTCCTCCGAAGAAATGCAGAATGTTATCGACTATTTCACGGAGAAAAATGGATAATCAATATACTGAATGACCTTGATGATGTCACAGGTATTCAGTGTTTGACAACGCTTCTACCAGTAACACCTAATATATTTCGTTCCCACCCAGAGAAATCAAAAGACAGAGTCGAGGAGATCGGAAGAGTATATTTGGCGATGACCAATATATAGGAATTCTCTGATCTAATCTGGCTAGCGATTGCGGTTGATGTTGAGCACGGCGTTACCACACGTGATCTGGTGCGGATGCATGACCGAGCGCCTTCAGCTAGGTGAGTCCATTAAAACATATTGTCAGCATCCAATGTCGAAAACTTAGAGCTATTTATTTTGGGGATTTATTTACCGCTACAACCTAATGTTTCTCTCTAACGGATGATATTAGCTTATCAGCTTTATTACTTTAAAATGAAATAAGAGCAGCTTTAACTTGTTTTTCTAGACCAAACAGGAAGAACTGCCTGAATGGGGCTTTAATCGGCTTATTGATTAATGATTTATCACAGTCGTAATAACATTTACACTTCCAAGATGTTCATCTGACCTCTGCCGACTGGTTATATCTCGATGTTTGAGGAAAGTTTTTGTGATGTTCAGTAGGCCAATGGTACGATATTAGTAGTTAAGTGAATTTGCCTTGGTCACGCTGGGCCCATGGAAGTTAGTTTCTCAATGAAAAGACCTGTAGTTAGTGTCATAAGGGTAGGAAGGGGTCATTTAAAAGGCAGAGAACGCTAATGCTGTAATTTGTAGGTGTTTAAGTGTGCAGTTAAATCTTGTCGAACTGAATATATGTGAGGAATTCATCAAAATCTTCCACTTTATGTATCAGCACACTCCTCTGAAGGCTTGACTCAATGGTACCGATGGAGGTGACCACTTAGCCACACTGAGTGACTTGTCTTTGAAGCTAACAAATGGCCGGGACAAGAATATTAACAATTTTTAACCGAAATCTCTTTCATAACTCAGACTCAATTTTAAAGGAACTATTAAATTGTTATTTCTCCCTAAAAAATTTTGGATATCAAAGAATTTGGCGATACCAGACCAGGAGTAATAGTGCGTATAAAAAATCCCAAAAAAATTCACAGAGAAGAATTGAAATAAATAAGATGGAAAAGATAAAATATGACAATAAAAACTATTATTTGTACGACCAAACGTATACTTTTGTTTTACATATCCAATTGAGTGGACTTGTACTACAATTAGTTTGGTTTGTGTATATCTGGTCACGTATTTGTCTATCAATTTACTTAGGTTGTTTATCACAAAATATGTCATCTGTATGCGATCGTTTGTTGAAATCAGTGGCCCCAACAAATATTGAGCCTCGTTCTCGTAGTAAAGTGACTGTTATAGGTGTTGGAATGGTTGGAATGGCTGCAGCATTCTCTACCATGCAAGTGACAGGAGAACTCGCACTTATTGATGTCGTAGCAGATAAGGTTAAAGGAGAAGTTCTTGATCTACAGCATGGTCAACAGTTTATTGGCAGGTGCAAAATTGATGGGGGAACCGACTACAAATACTCTGCAAATTCAGATATTGTCGTCATCACTGCTGGTGCCAGACAAAACGAAGGAGAATCACGACTGAACCTTGTTCAGCGTAATGTTGATATATTCAAGAAAATAATACCAAACGTTGTGAAATACAGTCCAAACTGCATCATAGTCGTCGTATCGAACCCTGTCGATATTCTGACATATGTTGCTCGAAGATTGAGTGGATTTGAAGCTCATAGAGTAATTGGGACCGGAACCATGCTTGACTCGGCGAGGTTTCGTTTTCTGTTAGGTGAGAAATTGGGAGTATCTGCCAATTCTGTCCATGGTTATGTAATTGGTGAACATGGTGACTCGAGTGTTGCTGTTTGGAGTAATGTGAATGTTGCTGGAGTTCGGCTGTCTTCTCTAAATCCAAAGATAGGATGCAAAGATGATCCTGAAAATTTCGAGGAAATACACAAGCAAGTTGTCCAGAGTGCCTATGACATCATTCGCTTGAAAGGTTACACCTCATGGGCGATCGGGTTGACATGTCGATCACTTTGTAACGCACTATTAAATAACCATCACACAGTTTATCCACTCTCTGTTCCAGTCAAAGGAATTCACGGAATCGAAGAGGATGTTTATTTGAGTTTACCATGTCTTGTAACTTCAGCTGGAATCAGTCATTTGATTCCGCTTGAACTTAGTGCGGATGAATTGTGTAAATTGAGAAGAAGTGCTGCCACTCTGAATGAAGTTATAACGAAAATCCAATGGTAAAGTCGTACGACTAATAGTTGCCGCACGTATACGTATCAAAGAACACTAGCTTTCCCCCTTTTCATGTATGTTATCTCTGTTTTTAAATTAGTAAGTATTAGATATGAAGCATCTTAATTTTTGTTTATTGAAATTGTTCGCTAAATTTTTTCCAAAGAATTAAACATAAATTATTCGGTTAGAAATATGAACAGCTTTCCTTCTTTCCTGTTAGTTATAACCGTACATGATCTAAGGTTTAATGAACTACAGTAGATTTTCCCGCTCACCCTTGGACATTGTTTAGGGATGATTTACATTCCTGTCATCTTGCGAATCAGGTTTTTATGGTATCGCATATCGTGAAGAGCCTTCACAAGCCATCCTTTGGCCTACTATTTAGAGCTTCAGCATATATGGCTTGAATATGTAATAATGTCACATTAAGTAAGAATGTTGTGTTTCTTGTAATCGTTTTCCGACAAAAATAGTTTATTGGGAAATATTTGGGAGTCTCCTGTCTTCCGTAATCACTTATGAAGTCTGACACTTGATTGGTATCGATTCGGTGGGATTTTCGTCAGTAACCTAAGCTGTTGGTTAACGATACCGTTTAATGCATTACTCCATGAAACTATCCAATGGACTTTTGAACCTCGTTTCTCATTATTTCAGCAAACTCTCATGATGTATTTCCTTTTATATTCATATCGAGATTATCCTAGGCGGTAATAAAAACTAGACATCCATTTTAACGAGTGCAGAAATTGTTCTTAAGTGTCCCGATAATTCTTCACTTGACTAAAGCTAAGTAAGCAAATATCTATGTGATAAGGGGGGAAACTATATTAAACAATACTCATCATACATATAGTTTTCTGGTTCTTTATCCTTTGTGCCTTCTAATCACACATTTTGTCAAGATTCTGGGGTTTCTATGAATTAAATGTTAGATTAGAATCTAAATGTCCCCCAAAAATATGCTTCAGTTTACAGGGACTCACCCGTGATAGCTTTTCATCTTTGCAACTAATATGGCTTCAAGTTAGTGATTGTTTTAGTTGCCATTGTTATCAAGAACAAACGTAATGATATTTAAAAGGCAATGCTAGATTCCTGACATATACTCTCTCGGCCTTTTAGCTTATTGGTTAACAATCCTTACAACCTATTCCCCGAAATCAAACGCAAAATGTTCATAAAGTCTCATCTTATAATAAGGCTGGCATTCATTCAAATGCTGCTAATAAGTAACGAATTCTTGTGAACAGTTTTAGATTCGATGACTTGAAAAGTCATATGTATCCATCTTCGGAAAAAATGAATTTTTTAGTATTTACCTAACTTTTCGTCGATACTAAACTTTCAGTACAAAACGTCTAGCCAGAATGATACAAACAAAAGCATATCAGCTGGTAAATAAATTATATTGAGGAAATAAACACACAATGCATGTCTATTTACAGGTTTGATCGGTTTGCACAGCGAGCAACATTACATTTAAAGAACAACTATTAATGGTCAAACAGTTTGTAACGATTTTACTGATAGGTTATTCTGAGAGAAATGTAGTCATAACGAGTATTGTATTGTTAGGTAGCAAATGGGAAACAAATCTACAGTAGAAGGACCGAGAAATCCTGTCGAAGTTTGACTAATATACCGAAGGGTATTTCCACTACGGCTACGGTGTAATTACAATAATCTACAATTCTAGGGAAAACGGGGACCGTGAAGATGGAACAACATCTAATGTCTTTCTAATTTCACCAGTGGGATATAATATAGTCACAGGTGTAAGTATTGCTGAGGCAATTTCAAATGAGAGACAATCATCGATGTAAGAAACAAATAGTAGTGTTGATTTCGTGTCACAGAGTTATTGCAAACTGCTCGGAATCACCGAAAGTTTCCTTGAAAATAGTTTGTAGGAAAATAAGATTAAGAATGCAGCAGATTGACTTTCAATTAACAGTTACGAATGTTACAACTCAGTGTTGATATCAAGAATATCCGACGATCGACTGGTCATTTCTTGAAGCGTATTTCTTGTATGTAGTCAGTTATGGCTTACGCAGTAATACTTCACTTCTTATGGAGTTATACTCACTTACTTGGTTCAGATCATCTAACATTGGGAAATTGTGTTTGAACCTTCATCAATTGGTAAGTCTTGTTATTCCCCATGTCCCGTCAAATACTACGTGACAAAACCACCAATTAGAATACCGACATCCATGACGTTGTCTCTGTGCTAGACTAGTGATGCGTTGACCAGCACTAGCAATGTTGAGTCAACTCTGTGCCTAATCGGTTCTGTGTATAGTAGCTTCTCGCCCAACTCAGTCCGTCCAGTCCAGAACACAAATATCGGTCTCCGATATGTGAATCGTATATTTCAGATATACGTGGTTTTTATACAGGCAAACTAGACCGTATCACACCATAGAATGAGAAGTAATAATTATACAAGACCGATCCAAAAGTGGGTATGTGTGTGGTATACTAAGACGAATAAACTGTGAATACGTTAACAGTAGCCAATAGGTCAGATGGACGATTTTGATAAAAGGGAATATGTATATATACATAATCTAGTTACTTAATTATTACCCAATAGAAATATATTTAACGACAGTCCATGAACAATTCAGAGTAGTTATCATTCATCTAGTATTCGTTCGTATATAACATTTGTACACCGTGATATAAGAGTAAGAAATCATCAGTAGATTTCTTCAGCCATTCCGAATAACTTGGATCTAGTGGAATAGTACTTCTACTTGCACAAGTCAAGTCAATCTTGTCTACGTTCTAAGTGTGCCGACAACAATATCTGAATAGATTGCATATGACAAACATAAAATCTCACCACCACGTTACAGTTTAACTATGTTGAAACCAACTGAAAATCTTGTATTTGAGTGTCATCTACCCTACAATTGTCGTATGGCGGTTCACGACATTTAGGTTCACAAGCAGGGGAATCAAGTGTTTTGATTTTGTGAATGGTTTGACCTATTTATTTACGACAAGATTCCGTTTGATGAAAGTTTAGTACATTGTTTGGATGGACTTTCAAAAACGACTTCACATCATTCTTCTTAAAATCAATATCAGTCAAAACGATGACAGACGGTAGTATTGGCCAACGAAATTTGAGCGTTCTCAAGTTTCAAAATGTCGGATATGTACATGTAGTATGTGCGCTTTCTTCGAAACCTAGTGTAAAATTGTTAGTTAATAGCATTTATAGGACCAAACTGGACACTTTCCCCTGTTGTGGCTTCATTTGCTGGATTTTGAGACCTGATTGTCTTTCAAATACCGATTCAGTTCCAGTCACCAGAAATTATGATCAGCTGTGAGGTGAATAGGTGACTATTCGTAATTTTCAGAAGGGGTTTGTGGAGATTTTTAGAAATTTTCACAGATTGAAATCATGAGTCAGTTGAAGCTAGACTACCATTGAAAACCTGGAAGCACTGGACGGCCGTTTCGTCCTAGTATGGGACTCCTCAGCAGTGCGTGTCCACGATCTCGCACCACGCGGGGCTCGAACCCAGGACCTACTGGCTTCGCGCGCGAGCACTTAACCATTAGACCACTGAGCCTAGTGTAAAATTGTTAGTTAATAGCATTTATAGGACCAAACTGGACACTTTCCCCTGTTGTGGCTTCATTCGCTGGATTTTGAGACCTGACTGTCTTTCAAATACCGATTCAGTTCCAGTCACCAGAAATTATGATCAGCTGTGAGGTGAATAGGTGACTATTCGTAATTTCTTAGATTGATTAGATAGATTAGTCTTTTATAAGCAAAGATGGATAATAGCTAGCAGTGGAATCCAGGATGCGCGTTTTGCTCTATTTGGGACTCGTCAGCCTGATGCATCTGCGTCTGAGTTGATGTTCACTCTGGGACTCGAACCCAGCACCATGCGATCGCGTTACCCACTCAGCTAGGATGAAACGCGCGTCCTGGATTCCACTGCTAGCCACTATCCATCTTTGCCTTTAAAAGCTTGTGAATTAATCCAATATCTAGGCATAAAGGCAGTATGCACATATGCCAATAACAGACTGATCAATTACAGTCTTAAACCTTAATGGGAAGATACAAGCAAAACAATACCAAGTGAAGTAGATTAGTCTATTTCCAAAACAAGTTAAGTTCAGTCAACAATTAGAAGCAACTAGTTGACAAATGAGTAAGGTATTTAAAATATTCCTTCCTGGTGGTTGTAGTTTGTTCGATTAAACATTTCACTGTCGTTCTGGATAAGTTATTTCGAAATCGATTGAGACCCAGGTTTTCCTTCATTTAAAAGTCAGAATTCTCAATATATCGGCCAAGACGGTTTTGTTGTACGAAGTGAAACTCTGAAAACTACTACAAACATCATCAAATGTGGAAAAATACGTGGCTTATATTACATCCAACTGTGTTCACCAGTTTACATGTACGCGCCAAATGCAGATACATCGGAATAAAAAAAGTATATGTGTCTGCATCTCTGAACATATTTCACAAAAGCTAACATTAACTGTACAGGACGTTTTGTTTGTCATTTGCTCGACAGCGGAAATGATGTTGGAATTTCGAAATCTTTCAAAACAGTCAATAAACAAAAAGAACAAAAATTGTTCGGCATTTCTGAAGCTGTCGAAATAAAAAGATTGAAATCCAGTTTATGAAAACAACAATAAAACATTTCGAAGGACTGTTATCAGACAACATCGATCTCAATTTATATTGGACTGTATCTTGGCTTCAAATCGACAATGGTCGTTTCAAAATCGAACCGTCCAGTCCACAGATTATAATACCACTAAGAACAAGCATCTGAACTAAAAAATATTTTTTATTGTTATAGTACAATGTAAACATGATTTCTCGAGATAATTTCTTAGTATTTATTGATGACTTATTACCATGGGAGCATATGATTTCGCGTGGTTGTGGTATCACTAAAATATAATTATCAAATTTTTCATACTTTATCAGACACTAAATTTACTGTAAGGTTATCATAATGAACTTACAGCAGCTACAAAAAATTAAGAAAGCTAACCAAGCAACCTTCCCTCTTAGTCAATGATGATAATATTTTTAACTTCAATGTTGATTTTTAGTATGGAGAGCCGGTCAGAAGTAGCCTAATGAAAAGGTCATTGGGTGGCAATTAGAAGTAACCTGACA